AGAAACCCTAGCCCTCAGATTAAAGCCAAATCCAATGGTTGAGATGGTGCACGAAATACAAAGCGGTGGAGAGAGAAAGCGTCTTATCAATGTTCAAGACCTTTTTTGAATTTTGAAATTTGAAAAGAAGATTCAGACTTATCCAATCAATTCGGAATTTATAAGGCAGATGAGTCATTTTACGAATCGAAATAGCAAGTGGACACGACTTAGAACAACGACAAGCGACAAGATATGTGAAAAGATCCAAGCAAGATACTCAATCGTTATAACTTACTCTTAAGCTCATAATCGCTTCGAGTAAGGACTAGATGATATAGCCACATTGTCGTATAACGGTCCAAATATTATCGAGTCGATTTACCCAAAGTCGACTCTTCCCGCGGACTTGTAATATCTCCGGTCTGCCAGGATCTACTGACAACGAAAGATAGTACAGTCGACTCGACTCGATGTCCCGAGTCGACTGAGGACGTCTCGAGGCTCATAGATCCCCAACGATTCCGGTATACTTCAATATATCGATGACCCAGTCGACTCGAGTTGATATCCCGAGTCGACTTAAGACGTCTCGAGGCTCATAGATATCCGAAGATTCCGGTATACTTCAACATATGATAGGGAAGCTGTTAAGGATAAGGAGGAAGCTATTGAGGATAAGAAGGAATCTAGATGCTGACTAGGAGATGGACAGAATGCGAACCGACCAGGGTATTTCAGACATTTCCAGTAGGTCGGCCAGGGCATTTTGGGAACTTCAGGTAAATTTTTTGCCTTTATATAAAGGAACTGAGGTAACCCCAAAACCCTAACTCCCATTCATTCTATACTTTCCTCCCTTACTGCTGCTGCTCTCTCAGAGCAACCCTCTTCATCTCTTTCACATACTGACTTAAGCGTCGGAGGCTCTACGCCGGAATCCCTCCGGCGTTGAGTTCTTGCAGGTGTTCCCGCGGTTCAGCGACGGTTTGAAGGCGATCGAGGCAGATCTAAGCCCATTCCCATCGGTTCATTTCATATCTGAGCTTGTTTCCATTGATTTACTCCAGATCTGAAAGGAGACCCATCACCTTTCTAATCTATTAACTTATATGAATTTTGTTATTATATGAGTCGCAATATGAATTTTTCAAAAAAAAAAATAAAAAAAATGATGCAGTTATTAATAAAAATCAAAGGATAATTTTTGAATTCAGCGAATGGCATCCAACCTCGGTCTTTTTGGCACAAGGGATGCGGTTAGTTGAACCGATTTCAAAGGCTTGATAATTGAGCTTTTGCATGACGTACGCGTGGGCTTGGACGTTGGTACTACCGGCCTCCCTTTAGGAGGTTATGTATTGGGTGGTATCAGTGGTACAGATTTCTTGATGTCTGCTGACCGAGAGATGTTAAAGCTGCATAGATTATTTGCATTGCACCTATTATTATTAACCAAGGAAAAAATAAAGAACGGGCGAGTTTTCTTGTTGCTTCGAAAAGTTTGTATGGTCGAGCTCAACTTCGTCGAGCCTCTTTCCTGAAATGACTGAAGCTGGCTTGATTGAATGAATGGACAGCTACGGATTGGCACGCTGAACTCGTACCCGGAATCCAAAGTATGAACTCTGACTGGGTATCAAAAGGTGCGATTCGGGTGAGATCCAATGTAGATCCAACTTTCGATTCACTCGTGGGATCCGGGCGGATGATTTTGGTATATGGATTGTTAGCAAATGAATAGAAACTCGAAGAGATTTGTTATTATTATTGAGATATCAACTCTATTATATTATTATTACAATTATATTAGACAAT